TATATATATGTCCAGGAAGGAAACAACGAGCTTATTTTGTCTAATAAACTCCTTCGATATTTCACTCATCTGCAATAAGCACATAAAAGGTGATTTGGAAAAATGTATTTCATTCAAAAATGTGCATTTGCAATGAATGAGTAATTTTGTTCCCATAAATGCGGAAGACAACATTAATTAGCCGTAGACAAGAAGAGTTGGTAGAATGTGATAGTATGTTGCTTTTAAGTTTAAAATTCCATACCGGATATTTGTGTATTCGTATACCGCGTAGAACACGCAAGCAAATGAGGGCTCGCCCACAAGACAGTTATTTTTAAAGGAAATTCTCCCAACAGCACCTTCTGTGTGGATGGCTCTTAAAATAGCGTTTTTTCTCGGAAGAGGCGCCTTGATCTGAAAAGGCACCTGCTCGGTAAGCTGGGGACTCTTTCGCGCACGCGGAAAGGGTGTTTGGGCGTTGTTATGAACAGAGTTCGCATTTTGGTTGACAGGGCGGGGCCGTCGGTGCGAGAGGCGGTGCTCGGTGGCTGACTGGACAGAAGGCAGACAGAAGTCGGGCGGGATGCGGGTGGCGAACGGCTGTAGGCATGACAGTGCGGCAGTGGGAAGCGTGGGTCGAGGGGTGCGGCGGGTGGCAATAGGCGGAGGAGGCGGCGGTGGAGGGGGCGGAAAGGTGAGGTGGCATGTTTTTTTTACGGCTTGGCGCGGTGGGTGCGGGTGGCGTGTGGCGGCGTGAGGTGGCGGCTGGCGGATGGGTACGTGGCGTGCCGGTGGTGGCGACGTGGGGGGAAGGGGCTGGGTGCCGGCCTGCCGCGGACCGTGTGGGGCCGCGGCGGCAACGCGGCCGGGGCCGCCCGGCCTTGCGCGAACAACTCTCAGATGGCCGGCCGGGAGCAGCGGGCCCGGTGTGTCTTTTTGCGACGCCCAAGTACGGGGCAAAGTAGGGGCGGGAGAGGCTGGGGAGAGGCGCGGACTGCGGGTCGACGGTAGAGTGGCGGGAGAGGCTGGGAGCGGGGGGGCGGGCGACCAGGCTGCGGGCGGAACAGGGCAGCCGACTGTTTCTAAAGGCTGAAGAGCGCTTGAATGCCCGGTCCCCCGCGGCTCTCCGACGCACAACTAAATTACCTGCTCGCTCGTCTCCGCGCGGAGAACTTCATAAATCCCAGGCCGCGCTCGCCATGTGGCTGTCCTGCGCGATGGAAAAGCGCGGCCTGGGACGGGACGCTCGCACTAGGAGAATTGTCTTCACAATGCCCTGCTCTGGTACGTTAAATCATAGTTTTGAGATGATTTAGTCTTTCGTGTAGATGGTTGAGAAATAATGATTAAATATGAGAAGGAAAAGGTCGGTGGTTCAATAACTTTAATAGAACTCATATGATAAACAAATTGAAGAGATTGCTTAAATATATGTAAAAATGGCGCTTTTCGCTGCATTAATTGACCATTTCTATAACTGTCTGAAAGTAAATAAATTATGAATTATAAAAAATGAAAATGGAAAAATTACTCTTAAATTATATCAACCAATTTCCAAGAAAACAGTTTATTTGCAATTTTTATGAAATTTGTCATTCGTGACCAATAACATTTTTATATTATAATTTCAATAGAGAATTTTCTATTGGGTTGGACTTAATTGGTAACTAATAACATTGAGTAAATTGTATAAAAGGTGAAATGTATTTTACGATATTGATTGGTTCTAGAATATTCTCAATAAATGTATTTAATTTAGTTCGCTGCATAAAAATGTTCTAATAACTCACTGCTATTAGAAATATTTCGATACAAAATAATATTTTAAAAAGTATATAATAACTTGTTTCATCCCTAGAAATACTAAGGTATAAATTGTCCCTTGTATTACCAAGAGTGGAGGACTTCGGTAATTTTAATGATGTTTTGACGACTTTCGTATATTAATAAATTGATGTATCAAATAATATATCTGTACATTCATTTCAAGAAAATAAAATTGTTAAATTTCTAGCTGTATAAATTAAAAAGTAAAATAATTTCTGACATTCATATTTGTATCTCATGAAAAAAGTGTTATATTTTTGGGTCAAGAAAGCCGAAATATCTTCATAACGTTGTCAAGTACACCATATACATTAGTCTGGCTTAAAATACTTCAAATGTTTCCGAAATGTGTTCTGAATGATCAGTTTTCAAGTAAACTTTTGTGTAAAACTAAAAACGCCAAAGCGCTCTTGCTCAACGTTGTAACTCATACTTCTACAACTACACCACAACGCTATAACTTCAATTAGGAGAAAAACTAAAAACTAAAAGAAACAGTCATGGGTGTTGTTCTGAGCTCCCTCGTCGGTAATGCGAACGTTCATTATTTAAATCTTAAACATTAAAATTTTTCTCCACAAAATGGTGTACATGGCCGTTGGCGCGCGCTCACGAGTCGGCACGCGCTCTATATGAAAGAGCACAAAGCTGCAGGACGCTAACCGCTGCAGACAGCAGCGAGCAGCAAGTGCGAGTCTAGGACAGCCGCGGTCACGGGTATATAACTGGCGGCCTCGCCCCCGGCCAAGTAGAAGAGAAAGATGGCTACGTTATCGAGTGTTTGTGATAGTGATAGTTACGCTAACACGAACGTCTGTGTTGATTGTTGAAAATACCGTGAGTTTACTACGATAGGGACATCTGGCGGCACGAAACTCGGCAACAGACTTGGAATATTCTTGTACATGATCTTGTCTGTCAGGGTGACGCCACGTCGAAGGTCGTCGTGTTGCCGACGTTTCGACCAACTTGTCATGGTCCTCCTTATGGCTGGTATGCGTGGCGTCATCCGGACAGCCAAGATCATGAACATGAATCTGGCCGCGGAAGACTACGATTTTACTTGGTATATTCTTGTGGCAAGGGGAACTTTGGATTTTCTTTTTGTATTCTGCAGAGGAGACTGGATTGTAAGTTGTTAAACCGAATAAACTATTTTATGTTGAAATTTCCGCTTCCACCTCTTTTCATACATTTCAAAAATAATTTCTACTTTTCCGTGTAATGGTCGCTTATATTCTGATGTCGATACAAATTACACGTACGTACAATGAAATTAAATTTAAATAATAATGTGTACTCACAATTTGCCGCAAGGTACTATTAGTCCCTATTGGCTCGGCACACTTACCTGAAACAAACAACAAAATGGTGCTGAAATAATAAAATAATTTAAACTAGTGGTTCTACAACGGGTATATTTTCTCATATTATTTGTAAGAGTCAGACAATTCTGTAATTAGAGTTGAACCCGTGCAAAAATTTCACACCGTTGAATTCGATTGCCTACGATTTCATGTGGAGCTCCGGACTGCTTCATGTGGGAGTCGCTTCATTGAGCCAACACACCTACACGTGTCCCTAACCCGCAAAATTGAGACCGGGCTTGGATTTGAACTCGACCTCGTAGATTTGTGTTTAAGTGACACTATTCAATTACTAACACGAGACGAGCCTAATCGACCGTGAATATTCATTTTGGAGTAAATCCTACTTATGGTTGAGGCGCTAGTAGAATTTACAGATGGACAGACAGACTGGCGGGCGGACGGGAGGACGAAAAAAACAGTTTTTCATTATCAAGGGATCTTAAAACGTGTATTTCCGTTGAAATCTCGAAATCGATTTCGGTCGCATTACATAACTTTCTCTGTACTACGTAAATGTTCTGTATATACCTACGTATACGAAAAAGTAAAAATTGGAGCTATTTTGTGACGGTTTTTAAAAATGTATTTGGGCAGTGTAAAATGCTCCAATAATGAAGAGATCCATTTCAAATTTGTTGGATGAAGATTGACTGGTGATTCTCAAAATGAGTATTTCCATCAATATGTCGGTATCGAGTTTTGCTCTTGACATACATTTTTTTACCTCCTCGACAGGATTGTTTGAATAAATGGTATCAGTTTTAAAGCATACAGAAGAGTCGAAGATATCACTTCTAGTCAATAAATATGCGGTGAGAAATCTTACACAAATAGTTACACACGTTACAATGGACTCATTTTACACGTCGCTCCTCGCTGATTGGTAGGCAACTTACCCTAGTGTTAGAAAGAAGTTCCTTATGAAGAGTCATTCTCATGGATCATGAATTTAACAAAATGTTTATCTCCTTCTGTAGCTTGAAGTCTATCAAAATTGCATTGGTGTTAAAGCTCATCACCAAATCTCATGACCATCAAATCCAGGAATTTCTGTAGTCTTCTGAAAATACTGTCGTGTACCTACCAAATACAAATGCAAACTGAGTTGCTTACCAACAAGGGACGCCATTTGTGATGTGTAACTTTATTTATTTATCTATTTAACCTCAACTACAATTGAAAGAGCTGTTACGTACTATGGAGAGGAGTAAAATCTGTTACTGTTTTTTAAACTCTGAAATCTCTGTTCTAACTCACTAAATTGAATTATGAATACAGGTAGCAAAAGAGTTTTTGGCAAAAACTGTTATAGACATATTTGTTCCCCAAATCGGTCACAGATTTTGGTTAATATCCGTTATCATGCTCTTCGTGACGGAATCGCCTTACTGCCGTTAGAAATGAAGCTAGATTTATGGCCAGAGGCAAAACAAGAGCTCGGTATTTGCTCAAAGGATCAGAGAAACTGCACAAAAAACCTGATCGAGATGGAGATTCATTGGCTAAGAAGGTGAGGCGCAATACTTGTTACGTAAAGTATTATTGCTGTAACAGGAAGTCAATTTTACCTTGATCTTGGATGTAGCCAAACCCTATTTTTTCGCTTCCGTTGCCAATCACCATTAGCTCTTTCATGAGGAGTGTCGTTCGCCTACAATTTTCATCACTTTCCTTTACTTTCTAAATGTTTTCTTAGTTTCCAAATAATTTCCCCGAAAATTAGTTATTTGCAGTTCTAAAGAGAAACAAAAGTTGTATCCCAAGATAAGGATAAAATATAAAAAAAGCATAAACCCAAGACGTAGAGCTGATAATACAAAAATGTTACCCAGGTTAGTTACACGCACGAGAACGCCACCACCTGTTCATCTACGTAGTTGTTCACACTCTATTTGTTTCTATACTTCTCAGAAGTGTGCGTCATATTTCTTTGAATTATATTTACTTCGTTTTTAATTATTAATTAGATCGCTGGTGAGGTAAATACCTTCTATTATTTAAGTATGATAAATAAAAGATGTTGTCTGGTATCAACAATTTATTTCGTTTTTACTTCGTTTGTGCCGAGCTATACCCAGACATACGCGTATTCGGCCGACTAACACTTGCCACGTTCCTCTGGCGGGTCAGCGCACAGCACGGCGTCTCTGGGGTATCCCCGAAACGAATGAATACCTTATTCCCGTGTTCAAGACGGAGGACTTAGGACGTTCGTGATTGGATGTAATTTACTGTTCTCGGTTAATAGAATATTATGCCTTTTTCTAGGTTAATCCCATATTTTTGTGGTGCTGTACGTGATAATACAAATAAAAATTGCACAGTTGATAGGAAAGAAAACTAAGAGAAGTTATTTTTTTTATTTCGTTACTATAATTTTATGGCCTAATATCAGTCATGACAGATGTCACGTAATTCATTGAAATAGTTACATTTCTAACAATCTTTACTAATCTAATCTTTACATTAAATACGTTGTGACATTCCCTCTCTTCCCTCTTATTATATCTTCTAATTTATTTATCTCATTAATTAATTATGAATTTGGCTAGCTAAGTTTTTATTACACTGGGCGTTATGGTAATTACAACCTCAGGGCTGCTATTCAATTATCTTCTTTGTGGGACTGAAAATAAACCCCCTCCTACGAAGCTACGGCTGGTGATAATATTTATTGTGATGGGAATTGAATTATTCTATAGTTTTTATCCTAATGGGTATTTTAAATAACAACACCTCCTTTGTTAATTAATATGACAGTGGCAAAAGTTCCAGTGGCAATTTGTTATTTCCTTACTATCTTTTCTTTCTTTCTGAATTGACATAAATTTAATCTTTATTTTATTACTTTCTCGTATCTATGATGGCCATCGTTACTTTATTCTTATTATTTTTGAAAATTGACTTAATTTAGTTTTCTAATGACATTTTTGGCCTTGAATAGTAAATATTTTCTCAATGTCTTTAGGGGATTCTTAACTTCTCTTTTGATGAAGAACTACCCTCATTCCGATAAGTCGAGGAGAATTCCCAAAACCATTGTGGGTCGTCCATCAACCATTTCTTGCAGCATTCCACACTTCCATGTTGCCACGATATTTTTAAACTGTCCGCACTTCTCTTTACTTAATTAACTCAACAAAAAAATCAATTACCTTGCGTCCTAATATTCGCATCTATTCAAAACACATTTTGATTTCAAGACAAACTTAAAAAAATATACTGCCCGCGGCATAACATCCTAGTCCAATCGAAAGACATCCATCTCTAACTTTCACATACTTGCAACTCATCTTCTCGCAGTTTCTCTTGTGTTTCATTGTTTTACACGTCATTCCGATATTATTTCTTCTGCATCTCTGCCGCACATCTGAGTTCATTTGTCCATCTAACAATGTCTTTTGTAAAAATATTTTACTTAAATAAAATATTTTTCTAATATTTAAAATATATTTCCCAAATTGATTTTATTTGCATTTTCCGTACTCTCAAGCCCAGAATGTCTCACTTTGTTTTATTTCTTTGTATTTATCTATCTTTCTAATGATATTCCGCCGAAATTTTATAATCATATTTTTAAAGTATTCCGAGAGGAATTTTTACACCTCTCAACGTCCATTTAGAAACCAACAAACGGAATTAAATTAATTATTTATAACATTTAATTACATAAAAATAATAAAATACATACTCTTCTCTTTACCACTTTCAACAACACTTGCGTTATGCGACTGCCGTTCACCAAAGAAGCCGAACATGGAAGTTTGTTTATCTGGCAAAAGTGTTTATAAACCTTCGCACACATGTTATACGTGAAGCGTGATAAAAAAAATCACTCGAGTCGTGTTCAGAGAGTAGAACTGCTTTATGAGCGCCATGGTCCCTCATTTGTCTGCTGGCCCATTACCTTCCCGATTGTTAAGTCGTCTCGCCTCCCGTTTCTCTGCTACCGCACTCGTTCTTCTCCCCCCCCCCGGCGTTCTGCGCGACGCGCCCTCTGCGCGCCCCGGCCTCCCTCGTCGCCCCTCTAAATATAAACGGCCTTATAAAGGAGGCGCTCCAGCGAATGGCAGCGAAGAAGCGGCGCGCGTCGTAAAATGGAAATGACCGCTCGCTAAACGCCGCACGTCAGGGTGCGCGCCTGGGCGGCTGTATCTGCCGCTGCTCTTGGCCTCCCCTCCCCCTCGGCCACGACCGCGTCCCACTCCTACTTCGTCACCGACTCCGCCCAGAGCGCAGGTCGGTAATGGCTGCACCATAAGGTCAAAGGGTGGCACTCATACCGTCTTAGATGGCTCAGGGTATCGATTGATGTCTCTGCAGTACATCTGACTGGCAGGTTGTAGGGATGCGAGTTCCCACAGTGGCAGGCTTTTCGACACTAGTTACATAGTTAGGTGGAATTCGACTGCGGTCTGGAGGTTGGCTGCTCTGTTCGGTAGTTTTCCATGATTTCTTCGATCAACACCAGGCGAGTGCCGGAGTAGCCTAACAAACGGGCCATGGACTGCCGCGATCCTTTCTTCCTCTTTTTTGTCCTATCACTACTTACACGCACTTACACTTACATGCGCTACACTGTCACTTATGGCTTAGAGCTTGTCCTGGCTCGGGCAGTGCTTCTCTGGTGGGAGATAACTGGTTGGGGCAATTCTTGCAAGCTGATGGGTAGGTCGGCGCCGAATCTCGTCATCCAGCAGGGGAAGATCACCGCAACCTTCCGCGATAAAAAACATGCACTGCACTTACTAATAACCTTAGCAGTTGATGAGCTCGAAAGAACTAATCAATCAATTTGCTACCCATAATGCTCCCCATGCTCGGGGCAAATAAACAAAATTTAAAAAATGGAGTTGTTTTTTAAGAACATGTAGGTAAAGCTTCATGTAAGGAGCTCTCCTGAATCCAAATATTCTTTTCAAACGTCCAGAGCCTTGATTTCGGCCAGATCGATCATGAAATATCACTTTGGGAGAATATTGTCTAAATGCTAGACGCTATTGTCTAGGCGCTAACGTTAACCACATACGGGCAGAAAGACAGAAATCAATATTTAGGTATCAAGGACCCACAAAACATAGATTCAGAAAACGTTAGAAAAAGTAATTTATTACATATAGGAACAAGATGTATCCACTTCTTCAATATCAAAGCCTCACAATGAGTTTTTCTGTCGAAAATTGCCGAATGGTGCCACAGGATTACAGTACTTTCCCCTTGATGCGAAGTAAGTAGTATTTCAAGAAGGTAAAAAGTGATTTCACTACCAGTCAACTGCATAATAATTTTGAAAGTCATGTATTGTTGCGTGGAAAAGAGCTGAAAAAGTCTACGTTTTACGTCAGTGTCGTATTGTAGGTGCCGGATACTGAAAATGTAGATAAATCATGTCCTTCTATGCGATCAATTAGTACCTCTGACTCCTTGTGTTGTCAGAATTAACTTTTTTTGGTGTTTGATGCCAAACAATTGGTTTACTACAAAAAACTCGTCTAAAAACCGTCTGTAAACAATACCAGCTGCTAAACCTGATATTTTATTTGTTGAGGAATGTTTTGAGAAAATGTGTGCTTTCACTAAACAAAAAAAATCAATTTCGCTCGCTGCCAATGAAACTAATGGCAATATTATAGCACATTCTTTCTCACATTATTTGTAACGGTTCCGCAATATTGTATTACTATATGAACCTGTAAAAGAGTTTCTAATCAGGAAACATTTTCCGCATCAAGATTCGGTATGAAGGACCCACTGACCCATCGAGTGAAATTGCCGTGCGTTAAAAAACGCCAATACTCGGCCGTTGCCACTTGGGCCGACTTCTGTGTTGTACTCTCTTGGGAAAAGCTGAACATTTATGCGTCAAAATCTATTGACAAAAGATTTATCTAAATACCGACATATCTTCGTATCATAGCATTTTATTAAGCTTTATCATACTAAGACTGCTACAAATATTTAATAAATTTGTTCTGAATTTTCTGTTTTCGTCTCGAATTTTTATAACCTGAGCTAAAGATACCACAGGATCTATTTCTACCAATATGTGTGATAAATTACATTATATTTTAAACAAAAGTTGCATTATAAACAATATCATTGAGTTTCAACTTCGTAAAAAAATGAAACCTATAAAAAACGAACACTCATCGGGGGACTTCGTTTGACCCCCATAGGTACTGCTAGAGTTAAATCTTGTAAATGATTTTCAATGTTTTTGAAACGGTGGATTTGTTAGAATTATTCGTTTCATACTAAAAGAAAGAAAACTAGGTATTTATGAAAAATCTGCCATCAAATGACAATCGATTCCGTATTAACCTAATAGTTATTAATTTGGAGAGTAGAACACTTAGTATAATGACAGATTGTCTTTGAAATCAACTGACATAGAAACGCGAGTCAAAAACATCAAGAATTCATTCCAAACATATAATTTTCTTAAACAGAAATATTTACCTCGCTTTTTAAGAGTTAGAAAAGTTTCAGTAATTATTACGTGGAATTTTTCTTGAAATAGCTTACGAAAACATGTCATAATTCCAATTTTTCATTTCCAACAGACTTTTTTTTTTGAAAAAAATGTGAGGAAAGAATCAGAGTTTGGTGTAATGATTTTCAAGATGCGGGCGAGCAACGTGTATTCTCACCATCTTTTCGTGCTTGAACGTCTCCGCCACATAGCTGAAGAAACTGAGACCACTGGTATTGAAGTGTTTTAGCTTCCCTTTATCCGCGGCCGGATCGAAGCCGGGCCCGCCTTGCAGAACACTAGAAAGCTGCCTATGAACCACCCAAGGTGGCAAATACCGCGCAAATAAAATATAACCTT